GACATCAATAATTCAAGACCTAATGCCCAAGGTCGAGGAAGGGTTGGGGAAATTAACAAGGGGGGGGGGGGAGCTGGGGGGATGCAGTGCTGATTGAAGGTCCTGGGTGGAGAGGAAAGCATCGAGAAATGTAGAAAAGAAACGTTCAAACAATCCAAGTCAATATTGAAGTCATGTCGAACTTGAAGTTAACACTGTTAAAAGTTTCCAAAGTTAAACGGCAAACAACTAAACTGGCCAAAATAAATAACAACCACAATTCACAAAATGACTGTTCTGAGTCATTTATTACTTCACCTTTCTGCATACATGTACAGTACAAGATTTTAGGTTCCGGGGTTATCAACAGAAAGCTATATTTAGGTTACATGCTAATCACATTATGGACTTTGTCACATACAGTACACATACTGGTTTTACAGCTACACTTATATTTCCTTTCTAAACTCCTTCAGGCCAAGTTCAAGGGGATTTCCTATTATAAAAGTATTTGGAATTATAATGACAGACATTTGAAAATGCTGCTCCAACACTAAGTGTAAGCCAGATGTTTACTACAACAGTTCTTTACTTAAAGGGAATATACAACATTTGCAAACATCAAAAAAAAAAAAAAAACTCCTGAATTGTTATGAAATACCTACTGGACTGTTAAATGACAGTCTAAAGCATCCTGTAAAATCGTGGCACCTGGTGTGCTAACATTTTCAAGAAAAGTGGTATTTTTGTCATCCGACCAACGCTGGAAAGAAACTGGCTTTTTTTTTCAAACACTGCCCCCAAATTACCATATTTAGTTATAGTCTGAATTTTGTTTGCAATCAATTACTTATCTATGAACGGGTACAAGCCACCAGCTAGACTGGGTCCCTGACCTTACAATTCCCCGAGGTCTATAAATTGCTCCATTTCAATTTACATGTAATTGGGTTTAGGGAACCAGACTACAAGAACAAGATTGTTTTTCTTGGTTTTTCCAGCATCTACATTGTACGAACACAAAACAGTCAGTGTAACAATTTTTGCTATAGAATACTAATCTCCCAATCCATCCATTTCTGAAAATAACAGAAAAAGCAAACGTTGTATATTCTCTTTAACTCTTGTGGTTTCATCAACAAGAGTCGAAACCAACATACATGTACATTGTACACGTATGTACATTGGGTTACACCATGGAGCTAAAAAGTATTTCCCCAGCAGGAAGTACTAAACAATCAAAATGCATGCTTTACATGTACATTTTTGTGTACAAGCTTAGTGCATTCATCATGTTCATGGTGCATTGCAGTGCACATTTGCATCAAATGTACGTACATGTACATGTACAATACACTGTACAATATATACATAGTGTATGTTCAGACGAAAATGAACTTGGTCGTTTGAAATCTGACAAGAACTTTTGTAAAACACAATACCTACTTTTTATTTGCAATAATCAATCGACAATAATCAATCGACAATAATCAATTGACGACACAAGTTAACATCATCCAGACCAAGTCTAGAAAATTTGCTGATGAACTACATGTATGTAAACCTGAAACATGCACGTACATGTGTGAACTGGGTATCAGTTTTACCATATGCTAGGCTTGCGGCTTGTCCGTATCATTTACATGTATGTCTGCACACTTATCCAAGCATAATAAAATTTATAAGGCCTATAGCAGAAAAATCATGAACAATACAGAAGATGATCAGATCACTGTTCAAACCAGCCTGTATCACTGACAACTTGGCATTTAGTTTACAAAATTAGATTTTTTTTTTTTTCCGATGAAAATCAGGGGGAAAAAAAATGACAAACACACTGTAAAGATGTTTGTCCATCCAAAACCAATACTATTTGTAAAGTGAAGGGAACTCAAAAGAACAAATAAGATTCATTTAGTTGTGGTACCAGATCCATGCAGTTCTATGCAAACAGAATCTAAATAGAGATAGTACGCTGGGCAGACTCTATATTATTACATGTACATGTACAGTGCATGGCAATGCAACGTAGAAGCTGTGCTGAGACAGTATCAAGCGACATTGAAATTGTCTTTAGCACCACCCTTCTATGGAATGTTGAATCCCAGGATTTGTACCCCCATGGAGCTACACATGTATAGCTCCATGGTAAACCCTGCCAGCATTTCTAATGATTGCGTCTTAACTTGCAAAAGCTAGGACTGCCTAGTGATCCGCAGCATGAGGGATTCCAGTCTGCAACACATGTACAATGTACATGTGTGTACATGCATGAATAACGCACATGTACATGTACGTGTACACATATACATGTATACATGGATGTATGTAAAACACAGGTACCCGGGTACTATCAAAGAAGCCCACCCTAAAATTCAAATGCTGGCAGTTGTCTTAAGGCATGTGTACATACTTTGACATAGCTTTGCGTCACCTGTCGCGCATTAACATGCAGATAAACGTGAAATCTGTTTTGGTTTTCCATGTAGCCCGGTTTCCATTTCGAAAATTGCATTCAAAGCCTTTCTGTTTCAATGTCTGAGAAGTTACTAAGTAAATCTGTAAAGTTGGTTACGGGAATGCGGAACCGGTTCCTAATATCAGCGGTACTCGGGTAACCGGTTCCGATTAACACAAGGTTGATCTGCTATATTTAAAGGGAATGTACAACATTTGCTTTTGCTGCAATTTTCAGAAACAAATGGATTTGAAGGATTAGTACATTTGTACAATGTAGGCCTATGTTATACATGTAGCAAATATTGTTAAACTGACTTGCTTCACGTTTTTGGGTTCGGAGATGCTGGAAAATCCAAGAAAACCAACCATGTTCTTGTATTCTGGTTCCCTGACCCCACTTAACATGAAACAGAGCAAGTTATAGACTGTGGGGAATTGTAAGGTCAGAGAATCAGTCTAGTAGGCTTGTACCCTTTCACAGGTGTGAATTTTTTTGCAAAGAAAATGCCGAATTACTAAATATAAAAAAGTTGGGAGCAGTTTTTGAAAAAAAGCCAGTTTTCCCCCAACGCTGGTCGGCAGACCAGCGTTGGAAAATACAAGTTTTCCAACGCTGGTCGGCAGACCAGCGTTGGAAAATACAAGTTTTCTCGAAAATCAGGACACCAGGAGCCACGATTTTACAGGATGCTTTGGACTGTCATTCCCTAACAATCCAGTAAGATATTTCGTGATAATTTGATCGCTTCGTTTTTTGATGTTTGCAAATGTTGTATCTTCCCTTTAACCACATGGACTCATGGAGTACTTTATCTACAACACAATGCATCCACTCATTAAACATCTGAAAATGGCATGCCTGTACATGTACATGTACATGTGTAAGGAGTATGGAGCATATAAAAGAAATTAACATAACATGAACAACATTTTAAAGCTATATTTAACATACAGATTGTATAAATGTATTGTACACTTCGTGTACATATAGTGGAGTTGCAAAAAGCAATAAAATATATATAGACAGACTAGACAGAAGTTCATAAATTCATGCATTTCTGATCCATATGTGTTCATTTAACCCTAGCCCAAGTTAGACGTCAAAGTGAAACAATGCCTTGAACACTTTCCTTCTGGTAACCCAATCAAGAAGTTCGGATCACAACCATGACAACCTTTTAATTATTAGCCTTATTATTTATTCTACAGTGCTTCTGAACATATGGCTACATCCCAACAGATTAACATTTTAAATGGAAACAAGCTATTTACAATGCATCAGAGTACAAAGTAGAAATAGTACTTTTAAATTCAATCGCTAGCTACTTATGCTTACTTACAAGTTGTAATCTGTGGATACAATTGCAAAAACAAAATATATGAAAGTCCAATACAATTTTTTTGTTGCAAATCATTTGAAGAATTTAGTTCCAAAATGCAATACATGTTGAGCCATTTGAAAAGTTGAAAATTTGCATGATTATTACCCTAACCCCTTGGGTATTTTTACTACAAAGTATCCCGAATCCACCAAAATCCAATAATCATGCAAACAAATGGTGTCCAGAGTCCATCAGAATCCACCAGTGAGTCGATCAGACATGTCAGAATCCACCAGTGTACATGTAGTACATATACCCGGTATCTGGAAACATATACATGTAGCTAAGGAGTTAAACTGTCTGTTGAGATCCTGAATCCATCAAAGTCCCCCAACTGCTGAATATGGAGGTATCCTGAATCAATCAAAATCCTGCAGTACCGCTAGGCTTACTGTCCTGAATCCATCAAAATCCCCCAACTTTTTTAATATGGGGGTATCCTGAATTCACTGAAATCCTCCAAACAGGGGTGTGGATTTTGATGGACTCAGGTACTTAAGGGTTAAGAATAAATACAACATAACAGCAGTTTCTAAACAGAAACAGCTGTATTCTTAAGTTGTATCGAAGTATAAACGTCGAAATTGACTTTGGGCAGCCAGAAGAGAGCAGGATTCTAAAAGGGAATAAAATGGCGTACATTGTATATCGCGTTTTGAAAACAAACTCTTCATGGAGTATACATGGTGAGTAAAAAAAAAGAAACTCAAATGTCGGGACTATTGTTTTTAATGAAGATCTGCATTTCAAAATCTAGGATATAAAAGCTCAACTCACAAGCTTTCTTTTAGTACAAGAATCATTCAAATCACTCATGTACTTTTCAAATTACTGAATTTTAAACACAACCACCATTTTAAAATTCTGTACACGGATCACCAAAACAGTGTGCGTTCTTTCAGCAAAAAGAAAACAATTCACACACATCCCTATGTGATATGTTTTCGTTTTACTGAAAGAACACTTACCAGACATTTGGGTTTCATTTTTTTTACTCACCCTGTATATATATGCCGATAATAAGAGGTGGAACCATTTCAGCAAATTACAAGCAAAGTAAAGAATCCCAGAACATTAAAATTGAAAAATCCCTAGCAACTACATGTAAAGTCAATATTTTTAAAGGTTGCCATCCTAAATTGCTAACAAAATCATGGCCAGTCACAAGCACACAAAATCTGCATATCAAAATGCAATTACAACATTTAATTACACAGTCAAACAGGGCAATGTCTTCATGTCAAAGACTTCAAAGAATAATCTTTCTAGTTGTGAAATTTCCAAAATATGTCAACAAATTATTTTACAATGCGAGTTCTTTGTATTACACTACATCTTTTTCCTGGTTTTCATAGTAGTGACACTAGTTGACATTTACATTTTTATTGTTTGTGTGGCTTCGCTACATTTCACATGCATTTACTCACAGTGCATATCTTTTATTCTTTCAGAATGCACACAATAGCATTAATGTAATTTTAAACTTTTTTTTTACAAGTATGAAAGAAATCATATAATATTGGTGTTTTCGCATTTCACATTTCCCCCAAATTCAATCAAGACACAAAATAACAATATATGTCTTCATGTTTACCCATCCACACCAAAAGATAGGGCCTTCCATGTAAATGCATACCATGTAAATATTCATTTGCATTACCACATGTATACATAATTAACGAGTACGAGAGCTGCTTCAAAATGTTGCTTTGGTCAATCTACAGTTTTCTGTTTGTAACAAATCAAGTTAAATACTGCAGAATTCAACAACTTTTGTCCTTTTTGCGCTGGTTCCAAAGGGCCTGCTTTTTGTCCTCGGAGTCACAGACTGACTGACTGACAGGCAGACTGACCAATTCACTAACTCTGTCACTGACTGAGTATAAATGATGTCCTAAACTGACACTTTTGCATCCAGTTCAGCTGGGCAATCTTCCAGGGTTAAGTGTGAGGACTAAACAATTTCCTATGAACATATGGAACACACAGAGTGATACATGTATGCACTTGAAGTTGAGGGATTCCTGTGCTGAGAACTGTGGTTTGTGGTCCTCTCCAGAACATTTTACACATGTGACCTGTCACAATAAAATGGGCCTAAAGTCAAACTTTTTGAAGAATTGAGATATTTATATATACACTATCTGGATTCTGCAGAACAAGAGCTTTCCAATGGTCTGTAACATTTAGGGGTACTGAGTTCAGTAACAGAAATACAGAACACCATCGTACTTGAAGTTGTAAAACCGATTCTTGAGAAATTGGCATTTAAAAATTAAAGTGAATTAACAGTCAACTAATAAAACGGGATGAAAATAAGTTTTAAAAATGTTTGACAAAACAAAAGCAATTGGAGATAGGAAAAACAGGACTTACAGATTAAGGTTCACCTGACAACAAAAAGAAATGGACCACCCCTTGAAATTTTGGCCCCACTGTACTGCAAAACGGCAATTTCCAACTTGAAGCTCATTTTGTGGCGACAGGTCACATGTACATTGTAAGACAATACTGGACACACATACATGCGAAAGACTCGATGGTATGATTTTTTAATTTCAAGGGCTATTCAGTGAAGTGAATTACATGCAAGTGGATTTGTTTTTTGAAGACCTGCACCCTCTAGGTAAGGGTAACAATCTTGCTGAATTGGGCATTGTGAGGGTTAGCTAAAGGAAACATTTTGGAAACACAATCATTTGCTTTGACTTGTTGGAAAGCATTCTACAGTATTCATTAAAATACTGTTTGCATTCATACATATACAATCATTTTTCGACACACAGCTAGAGTGTAACATAAGCTGCATGTATGAGCATGAAGCTTTGGCTAGTACATGTTGGTCCTTCATGTACAGTACATGTCAGTTTAAGAGAATGTGCTTTCTGATGCAAAGTGGCGTTTAGATGGAGGGACAAGATGTCTTGGCAGAGCCTCTGGAATATCATGACCCTCCAGCTTGATTCTAATAAGATGCTGAGCCAATGCGAACTCCTCCGAGTCCAGCATGCCATCCCTATCCACATCTGACAGCTTCCAAATGCGGCCCAGGACGGTGTTGGGCAGCTTCGAAATGACCATCTGCTCTTTGGCCCTGGTGCCAGAGATCTTGCCATCAATCGGGGACAGTGTGTCAAAGAGCTTGTCGTAGATGTGCTTCTTCTCATTCACAACCCACTCATTCAGCTCCCCTTTGCCGTAGTCTGCCCCCTCTCCGGACCCAGCCCCAAAGGGTGTCTCGTTGCCGACAAAGGCCCCGCCTCGTATCGGCCCTGTACCGTCGCGATCCTTCTGGGCTTCCTCTTGGGGAACCATTTGCATGAGCCGGGTCATGTCGCGCTGCAGCATGATGTCCACCTTCTCAATCATCTTGGGCTTGAGTTGGTGAAACTTGGTGAAGTCCATGTCGGCTAGGACTTCTTTCATGCGCTTCATGGTCGGGAAGTCGCCTGAGGAGATGGCGTGGGTTCGCTCGATCTCTTTGTAGACATCGGCCAGGTTGTTGATCAGTTGCTGCTTCTTGGATTCTTTGCCAAACATGGAGGGCATGTCACGACGGAGAGTGCCGATGATATAAGCATGCACCTGTTTGTGTTGGAAAGTAAGTCATCAAATACATGTTTATATTGAATTTAATATGGAGACCGATTTAGTGATTTCTATATGCACCAAAGATTCAACTACCCCTGACTCTTATTTTCACCATCTTTCACCAACTGTATAAAAACATGTGTAGTTTACGTTTGCACATTATGCAGTTGCCAATGCTATCATGTAGGATTTGAAAAACTAGTGCATGCTACCAGTGCACAGTTGAAACACACGCACACAATGTATCAGTTTGGATATGCTGGAAACTACAAAAAATTTAACAGACCAATGACAATAATAAAAAAAAAGATGATACATGATGAACGAGATTCTGAAACTCAATACCTTTGCCAGTCTGGCCCTCTTGATGAGATCGTTCAGCTTACGCAGAGCAGCATTTCTCGGTAAACTTTGGATGTCATGAAACAAGTCCAACTCCTCAGCTTCAAACAGTTTCCTGTTCATGTCAAAGTGGAGTGGTTTGTCCCAAAAGGACCCAATGTACACACGAGAGACCTCGGGCGTGTTAATGACCTTGCCAAGAGACCACATGAGGGCACCGTAGACCCTCATCAACTGCTGATGGTCGACCATATCCGACTTGTTCAGAACAATGCGGATTTTGTCATCGTTGCCTTTCAGAGCCTCGATACATCGGCGAAACTCATCCGAGATGTCCAACTTGTGGGCATCAAAGAGAAGGATGATTCGGTCAGCACGCTCAGCAAACCATTCCAGAACACCCACAAAATTGTAGCCACGGTCCAATCGTTGCTTCTCCCCAGACAGAATACCTGGAGTATCAATGATAGTGATACTATCCAAGACTGGACTCGACGTGAGCGAACACTGGAATCGATTCAGGAAGGCGTTGCCAAATTTTCCGAGTGCTCTGTACTGCCGTTTGGGGTCTACAACCAGGGCGTTACCCGGGATGACCGAGTCTACATCGCCATTTTCGATGGCCATAAATCTATCGGTCGTAGGCTCGGGCCCAACGCGGATCCCTGGAAACTCTTTCTCAAGTAAATACCTGATGAATGTGGTTTTGCCCGTCGAGTACTGGCCTACAAGGAGGATCAACGGTTTGGCCAGAAAATCGGCCTGATCCATAGCCGGCGAGTGGAAGTCATGGAATTTGTACGTTTCCTCCAACGGCAAAATTGTCGTTCTGTACAGTTCCTGCAAACCCTCCACCACTGAGTTATAGGAGTGGGGCTGCTTTCGACGGGCCTCGTCTTTATTCAGCCAAGAAAACATGTTGAAAATTTGGGATTTATTGCATTAAAAATAACCCAAATATGTGCTGCGACTGCGAGGTTTTATCGCGAAGACGAAGAGTACACGTCCACGCCTTCACACAGTACATGCAGTACGTACGTCTGTACGTGTCATGACCCGCAATCGCATGATACCTCTGCGATCGTACGCCAGTGAATTGAAAGACTGGTAAACGGAATCGTCTGGGTTTGACAGATTAACCTGAGCAAAGGGTCGGGCGCCAGGTTTGTAGAAACGAAGGATGACATCATTTTAAGGACAACGCATGCGTTTCATTTTTGTGGTTGAGGGCGCACTATCTAATCCGCCGCTATATCCGTACACTGATCTCTAAAGAGATCAGAGTATCCGTACCGTGAGCCGCTTTGACGTGGATGGAAAACGTCGTCAGACTTTGTTAGTGAAAGTTCACGAAAAATGTTGAGGACCTAAAACTACTATATTTCACTGCCACACTAGCATTTTTGGAATTGTGATTTAATTATTCGACGAAGTCCGTAGCTAAAGTCCGATCATTTCGCTCCGGATCCAGCAGTTTTAATTTTAACAATTATCGGATAGTTTTTGATTTTGTACCCTCATCAAAAATATGATCCCCGTAGGCCTATCCAAGTGGGTTTTATTTTTCAAACAACATCTTTCACGTCACCGTAATATACTAGGCCTATGATATGGTTCATTACTGAGTCGCAGTACAGTTTTACACCCGCATGACGTCCTTTATAGACCTCCGATGAAGTACAAATTCAAAAGGCTAAAAGAGGAGATGCAGCTGCCGTCAAATTCTTCGTTTCTTTGTACATGGATGATTCCATAAATGTGGGGCCGATTAATATCGGTGTCCCTCTGTACATTGTGATATTTGTTCCCTAGTATTACAAATAGTGAAATATCATAGTCGTACTCCCTATTATCGCGGCATCCCTATTATCGCGGCATGGGAAATTTCTCTTTTTACAGTGTCAAAACTCCTTCAAGTGGCGATTTTTATCCAGTTCACCAGTCATCAAGGATTTTCTACCAAGTTGTATAAAAAGGACGATTAAAAAATGTTGTGTCTTTCGGGACTTTTAACGATTTTAATAAATATTAACGTTTTCCAAAACTTGCAAAATTTTCCCTCACCGTGTCTGCTAAAAGGTACCGTTTATATTTTAACATAAATCTTTAATTGCGCTCTGTCCATGAAAGTTCCATTGTCTGGTTCCCATTCTTCCGCTGCAAATGTAAAATGAAGTCGAACGACGATATTTGCAGCGCGAAATCGTAACAACGTTTACGGGATCAAAATAAGCACCGCGCGTTAGCGAAAATAAAACGGCACACCGTGTAAAGTGAATGGCGCCCTCAATCGCCGATCAGTGGACTTGCCTCAGGGGTTCTCCTTTCGGGAGAAGGGCAGGGTCTTAAGAAATCATCCTGCAGACATTTTGTCTTTAATCAACTTGAACGTTACAGGAAAAATATCAGACTTTATTCAGGGGGTGTTTTGGTCAAAGATAAACTATGAACAAAAAAGTTGGGATCATTATAAAAACCACTTCCCGCATACCGCGATAATAGGGAGTCCACCTCCGTTCGCACACGCCGCGCATGTCTATTTTCACAGGCATCGTACACGGAATAAACCACACCACCCGTCAGATTTTTTTATATTAATTTAAAAAGGAAGAGTTATACTACACATAAGACAGGACAATTCTGGAAGGTTAGTGGGCAATCTCTATTCCGAACGAGAAACGTGATAAGTACCGCGATAATACGGCGTTCCATCCTACATGTAGTTGAGCGAGATTCGCAATGCGTTATAGCCCAAAATGGTTTCACGTGTAAACAAAACCCACTGTTTGGTGTCCCTTTTACACGTTAAATTTGTGCAGTGTTTCTGAGAAACAAAACGATAATTGGGGTCACTGGCATATCCCAATGTGTCACCATTAATTGCATATGCTTGGATTTTTTTTTTTTTTTTTGGGGGGGGGGGATTTGCTATAGGTTTCACGTGTAAATAGGACACCAAAATGGTGTCCCCCGCGGCAATCAAGTACCGAGAATTGATATTTTTAGTCTAAGCAAGTTATTTCACAATAAACATTGACGTACGTGTTATCCTGGGTAATACAAAAATACATCCTTTCAAAATAAAAAAACCACAGTTGAGCATCACCAAATAGCAGAAAATGACCCCTTTACATGTGAAACCGTAAATGGGTTTTGACATGGTATTGTGACAACCTGCAGTCGTCTCTGTTTATGATGTCATTGTTTATAAATAATCTTGGCATTAAAAGCCGTGGAGAGCTCCTACTGCGCATGTATTTTTGTGCGAGTCACGCCCATTTTCCACAGGTGGAAAATTTGCGCGCGCAAGTTTCAAAGTTGCGCAAGTAGCAAGTTTGCGCTCGACAGTACTAGTAGTAACGATTGCACGAGGAACAGCGTGCGCGCGAAGGTTTATTAGTCAGACCCTATTTATATCTAACAGTACGTCTAGATTCCAGACTAGTTGCTACAACTCCCCAATTCATTAGGAATTTTACTGAAAGGTATGCGACAAGGTATGCAATAAAATTCACGACATTGCAAACAAATTCGCATACGTGTGCGCACATATTCGCGAATTGTTTCACGACATCGCATACGTGTGCGCACATATTCGCGATTAATTTCACGACATCGCATACGTGTGCGCATATATTCACGATAAATTTCGCGACATCGCATACGTGTGCGCACATATTCGCGATAAATTTTGCGACATCGCATACGTGTGCGCACACATTCGCGATAAATTTCGCGACATCGCATACGTATGCGCACACGTTTGCGATATGCGATGTCCATTCAAAGCCACCATAGAGATTGGAATCGGCACTGTCGCCACGCTACCCAATGACAGACCGGTGCCGATTCCAACCTGATAAGACTACGAATATCTCTAATGATAAACCGATCGGATGACAGCAAAGGTACAAACTGGTGGCAGCGTATGGGATCGAACCCACGAATTTGATAATTTAAATGCGTTCGCCTTGGGTTTGTTTTAGCTAATAGGACAATGTTTCCACAATGTGTTGGTTGTAAAGGACGTCTAATCGCTAACTATACGAGACAGTCAGTTGGTTCAACAATTCCGTTAAGTTTAAGTGACGATAAGTAGGCCTTCGTGGTATTCATACTGAAGTAGACTTCGACTTACCTTCGGAATATAGGTTTTGTTTACTCTGATATTTCCGCGGGGTTAGATTCGGCGGGCGGAGTTTAAATTTTTCCACCGAAGTTCCAGCCGAGTATACTGGTGGAAAAGCAGTTTCCACCACGGTTAGTCGGCGGACAGAGTTTTCCGCCGCAGTTCCACCAGAGTTTACTGGTGGAGAAGCAGTTTCCACCACGGTTAGTCGATCGACAGTTAGGGTTTTCCACCGAAGTTCCACTAGAGTTCACCGGTGGAAAAGTAGTTTCCACCACGGGTAGTCGGTGGACAGGGTTTTCCACCGCAGTTCCACCAGGTGTTTATTGGTGGAAAAGCAGTTTCCACCACGGGTAGTAGATAGACAGGGTTTTCCACCGACGTTCCACCGGAGTCTACAGGTGGAAAAGCAGTGTTGTAGCCGTGACAGTTGTATAGGATCGGCGGAAGTACTCTGGTTATAGTACGGCGTGCTTTCCAAGTGAAAACGACTATGGCTTCTACTGATACCTGTAAAGTTGATGAGGACATAACGTTTAGAATAAGAGACAAAGAGGAGGCGGAAGAATCAGAGTTTTCTCCAAACAAAGAACTTAATGCAAGCGATGATAGTGTTTCTGATGGAGAGCGGGACGCGATTGAGACTCCTGTAGCGAATGACATTGAACTTTCAGAGGGTGTGAGACGTCTAAGAGTGACAGCCGAGAATACGGAGAAGCCCCTGCCGAAACAGAAAGAAAAGAATAATTTGACTGCAAAACACGAGCCTCATATCCCTTCGCCGGGCAAGGTTAAGTCCCATCCTTTACAAATCTACAACCGGATGCTTTTACTGGTGAAGAAGACCGGGACGAGTACATTACACATTTCCAATTATTGTGTGCTGAAATGTGCAACTGGGATGACCAAATTAAAGCACACATGCTCGCTTCTCGACTCCAAGGCAATGCCCGCAGATATTACACTGGGCTTCCGTTGCAAACTAAAGGGAATGACAACAATTTGGAATCAGCATTGGCTAGTCGTTTTGGGAGCGGAAGGAAACAAGAGCAGTGGAAGGCCAGACTGGTGGGAAGAAGCAGGAGACCTGGCGAGCCAGTACAGAAACTGGCAGATGATATTTGGTGCATGGTACAGAAAGCATATCCACAGATGGATTTGGCAGCAAAGAAAGTGCTGGCGTTTGACGCATTCAGAAATGCTGTCGGTCCTGGATTGAAGCTCAAACTTTTTGACAGAGGATGCAGTACAGTAGATGACGCCGTATTGGTGATTGAGCAAGTACCCCTATGTGCAGTCAGTCTAACAGCAATGCCTGCAAGCGCCCGCGACACGAACTTCGTATATCGCGGTCTAAAGGTACCTTAACCTGGGAAGTTCTGCACAAACTATACCTTGTTCGGAAGCTTGTGATGAGGCAAACAGGATGGCAAAAGGACAGGTCTTGAAACCCAGTGGTTGCGGTGAAAATTTAAGATATAGCGCATCAATGCCAGTAGTACCCCTATGTGCAGTCAGTCTAACAGCAATGCCTGCAAGCGCCCGCGACACGAACTTCGTATATCGCGGTCTAAAGGTACCTTAACCTGAGAAGTTCTGCACAAACTATACCTTGTTCGGAAGCTTGTGATAAGGCCAACAAGCTGGCGAAAGGACACGTCTTGAAACCAAGTGGTTGCGGAGACAATTCAAGATATAGCGCATCAATGCCAGTAGTACCCCTATGTGCAGTCAGTCTAACTGCAATGCCTGCAAGCGCCCTCGACACGAGCTTCGTATATCGCGGTCTAAAGGTACCTTAACCTGGGAAGTTCTGCACAAACTATACATTGTTCGGAAGCTTGTGATGAGGCAAACAAGCTGGCAAAAGGACAGGTCTTGAAACCAAGTGGTTGCGGTGAAAATTTAAGATGTAGCGCATCAATGCCAGTAGTACCCCTATGTGCAGTCAGTCTAACAGCAATGCCTGCAAGCGCCCGC